CTTCTCTTTATTTGCATTCTTTTATTGTACTATTGAAGAGTGACCTCAAGCTCTTTTTCTTCTTTCTTCTTACTTGTCTGCTCTTTGGAGGGTTTTGTATATTATAGCACTGCTTGCTAATGGAGAAGTCTACTTTCATATGTGTTTATTTTATTTCCCCCAAACTCACCAGTAAGAATACCAATATTGCTTTTTTGAGTGCAATTCTAGAACTACACGTAGAATGGGTGTACGTGTACTTATACTTTTCTACCCCTTACAAGTAAAGGCAAATTTCTTTTTATGTTCATCAGGTCTTGATTCGAAGTACTAATATTTTTTAAATATAACTGTTTCCAAGCTAAATATGTTTGCACTACTTAAATATATGCAAGACTGTTGTGTTTTAGTGGGGCAATGTAATTTACTTATGAAGAGTGCATTTCGTTGTAATGTATATGCTGTTTTATTTTGTAGGTTGCTTTCTTTACTGATTATATATATTTGTTTATGCAGTGATAGGAAGAAGTTAGTATCAGCAAGCATTATTACTGATATTTAAAGCTGATCATTATATACTTCTCTTCACATTGCCACAATATATATTTGCACAGTAAAAATATATACGTGCAAACACAGTAATAGTTCTTCGTATTTCCCTTCTGGTATTTTTTTTCTGCTGTGTATGTTAATGTGTAAAAGATATGTAAGTCCCAAGCAGGTGTTTAAATTGTGGGTGTGAATAAATGGCAGATAGACTTAAAAAAAGGAGGCAGGAAGGGGAAAGAAGAAAGAAAAAACAAAGCTCTTCAGGGAGTTACCTTTTATTTTATAATTCTTCATCCAGACCCTTGCTTACGCAGTTCTTGCTTTTGAAATTGCCTTGTTGAGTTAGCGAAGCATCAGCTTCAGGTGTCTGTATTATTGGGGGAAGAGGAGAGAGAATGGTCTGAGGCCTAATCTGGTAAAAATGAATAAGATTCTTATATACACATACACGTTTCATGCTTTTTGGCCAATCATGGAGCAAAGACTTGTGGTTGAGCTCCAAATAACTATTGCTGTTTTATAATGCCTTTTGTTGGCACCAACTTTGAAATCATTTGATGTAAGAATGATAAAGGAGGTTTTATTACTAAGGAAGTATAGCAGACCTAGTCCTGTTGCCAGTTTCATTTGACCTTGCCACTGCAGTCTCCAGCCATAACTTGTAATGGATATCACAATGATCTTAAGAACTACGTGAGCGGAAGGGAAGTTCTTATTCCCAGTAAGAAAATTAATAAAAAGAGAAAATTAATTCAGAAATCTCTTAAAACAAAAACAGTAGTTATACATCTGGAACTGGTTAATTACTGGTGTTTCTTTCAAACATGGGAAAATAATGGTAATAACAGCACATGCATACAAAGATTAAATAAAAAATTAGTTTTAGACTTAGTTGTAAACAGATTGTGCTCATAAGCTTGAATATCTGCTAAAAATCATCAGTTTTAAAGTTGAGATTAAGAGGACCACTGTAGGAAAGCCTGGCACTAGACACTGTCAAAAAAACCTGCAATAGTGGTGGAACTGTGCCTGAAACCCGGGTTTCTTAAATGACATTGTTTCTCAAAACTGTTCATGTAACTTGAAATTATCTGGACAGTTTGAAAAATAAATCCAAACCAAATTATCTGTTTGTTAAAGATTTGATAAAGAGATTTATAGGTGGGAAGGATGTACTTCCTGAAGTTACTGGAAGGATTTCAGAATTGTTTCCAAATAATGACCCTTTTCTGCAAAGAATGAGATCAAGTTAAATTCCATATAACATCATCTTATTTCTAATGTAATGGAGAAGATGCATATACTTGAGATGTGCTCTAGAAGGAATCGGGCTCTCTGCCATGACAAGCATGATACTGAACATGCAGCAGAGCAGTCGGGCAGCCCAGCCAGAAAAGTCTTTCCAAATACTGTTAGAAGAGAGAATTTAAGGAATTTAATGACATAAGAGATACAAAAGAGCAGCCTGGACTGTACAAGAACCATTAAACCCCTGTTTATGCTCTGAAATGTTTAAAGAGCAAGAAGTATACAACTGGATGATTATTTTTTTTAAATTAGGAATTGAAAAGACTTATGTAAGAGAGTGATTATTCTTGCAGCCTAACTGCAGTGATATAAGTGTGTGTTGTAAAAGCACATAATTGAAAATATTCTCAGTAGGTAGCTATGAAACCAAGACAGGCAAATTGAAAACGGCAGATGTACACTGAACACAAGTACTGGGGGTGTTGTTACTGGAAGGGCTCCTGTTTATTACTTCAGTGAACTGCTGAAGTCCATGACTTCTGTGCTCTATCTTCTCTCTCTATGTTTCTGTTTATTGTGCTTAAGATTCTTGAAAAGTAGAAATTTTTTCCAGATATTTCATTTTAAAATTGTGATTAGCAATATGTGCTTAGATAGACTTCATCAAGGTCCAGGTAGCACACATGTGCTTTTCTTAAAATTGACTGTTTCTGATAGTAATTGCTTTGTTTAGCCCAAGTATATCCTTGAAAGTACATATTCTTAATTACTTTTCACTGTTTTACATTGCACCTTTAAAGGAATAAATTTGTGATTTATTTTTTGTGCTCTCTTCTTGTTTCTTAGATAGTTATGCAGTTTTGTAATCTGCATATGCCTTCTTTTTTAAATTGAATAATTTGTTTTGAAGTGCAAGATATTCAAATATTGTAGCTAATATTGTCAGGCTGTAGTGTTATTGGTAAATAATTATTGGTGCATTACCAGTCTGTTTTTAATACAGGTGCCTTTTGAAAGTATTCCATTAATTTGTTTCTATAGAATTGCACTAGAGGACCTTTGAAGAATCACAGAATTATCCCATGCTGTTGCTTAGCTCAGTGTGAGAACTTGTCCTTCTGCTTGTGCTGCTCTGTATTTTCTCCTCCTCTTAAAAGATAGCTGACAAGAACTGTTTAAAAATAGCAGGCCAAGGCCAGGTGACAAAATGTCACACAAGCAGCACCTGGTCCAGTGACAGCCTGGAGGGAGGAAAAAACAAACCCAGATGTCGCAGACATGATTCTATTTCTGAAGGTGGTCAAACAGCAGAATTTCAGCTTCAGCAAAGGAAAGGGCCCATCCAAGCATTATGCACTCCAGTTTTACTCTGGCTTTCTCATAGCAGTTCCCTTTTTTCTATTACAAGTATTAGTTTACAAGTATAGATTATTATATACACCTTTTCACCAGTAATACCTCTAACCTCACACTCATTATTAATATTGCTGTTCAGGAGAAGGGAATGAATGTCAATCTGGCAAGATTTCTGAAATATTTTAGCGCAAGCTTATACTAACTGAAATAATAGCAGCTTTAATGTTTCTGCAGTGCTCGGTTAATGTGACAGTATATATAGGAGAATTATGCCTGTAGTTAGGAAACCTGAAGTAGTTAATGAAGAACTCTTTAAAAAGCTTTGCTCAAGGAGTTGGAAAGTAAAAATTGAAATTTTATTTACCTTCCTGCTGCCCCTGCTTCTTTCTGGAGGTGCTGTTTGCTTCACAGCTTTACTATTGCAGCACTTTTTTCTGAAAAAAATGAGAAAATAATAATGTGAAGAAAATACATATTTGCTTTTCTTAAACTGCTTGTGACTTAGTTTCAGAAATGTGTAGTGAAACTTCATGTTGCATCTGTTCAGAAATGATATTCGTTACAGCACAGCAGTCTCTGTGACTGGCTATAGAAGACTTTAGTTCTGATCAATAACTTAAAAATGTTGGAGAAGATTTGCTTTATTTCTGCTTTGTCAAAGCTTATTTGTTAAAACTTGGTTTTGCAGAAGTATAGGAACATAACGGTCGTATTGAGTTCAGTATGGTGAGTAGGTCTTGAGCTCCCATATTTGAGTGCCAGCGTAATGAAGAAATGCAAACCGCCTGCTTCCTTAGCTCCAAAATGTAACCACAAATCTAGAGGTGTGGAGAGCACATGAAACAAATTACAACACTTAAAGAATTTTTTAATTTGGCTGCAATGATCTTTTAAAATCTTTTTTTCAAACAACGTCCAATACCAATTACAGCTTTCAAATTCTGTCGGGGAGCTTAATTTTAAAAGTTCTGTTACAAAGTTTCTTCAGGGAAAGTTTTTAATGCTTCAGCTCCGGTGACTAGTATCTGAAACGTATCTGAGTAGTAGTAGAGTTGGTTCATTTTTTTGACAGTAAGAGTAGATTTCAGTGGACGAGATCTCCTTTGAAACAAAGTAACCATGTGTGACTTTGTTCCCACTTCCAGTTCCTGAAGAGAAATCCTAAACAACCTTTCAGTTGTTAAATCTCATGTGAGAAAACGGGTTCCGTTTGCATCTCTCTAGCTTCCTGGGAACCGGGACCAGCAGAGCTCATTTGAATTTCGTGGTGAACATTCTGTATGTGATGGTCCCATATTATGGGTCAAGAATAAATACTTTTTAGTATATATGAATGTACTCCATGAGAACAACATTCCAGTATCTTATCTCAAACAGTACAGGACAGCAGATTCTTAGGGAAGAACGCAAGAAGAGGGTAAGCACTGTGTCGCCAGTGACCTGTTAACTCGAGAGCTTCTGGTGTCACAGGTAGTATGGAAAATAGTGATCTATTTTTACCAGTTAGGTGCAGTTTTTGTCATGCTGTACTTGATATTTGAAGCCTACTATAAATGGCATAACTGCAGCAATGTTGAACTTTGAGGCCTTATTTTGAAAGGGAAAACAATAGTTTCCTAGTGCAAAGCAAAGGATGTATTTGAAAACATTTATTTATTTTGTGATTTTTTTTCAGTATCTTACGTACTTAACACTAAAGGTACTACCGTGTTAAATGTCTTAAATGTGTGTTCTCGGGAAGTTGTCTTCTGTAGATGAAAGATTCAGCTACCCTGGCTGTTCAACCCCTTTAGCAAAAGTTTCATATTAATGACTTTAATTTAGTTTTGAAATAAAAAGATTAAAAATAGCTTTTGTTTACATTGCAGGGCGTATGGGAATAAACTTCCATCATCCAGGAACAGACAATATTATGGCTCTTAACAGTAAGTAGTTAATATTTAGTGACTAATATTGTCACATTGAATATTTACTGTGTATGCAGCTGTACAGTCAGACATAAATATGCGTAATAATATTTGTGTGGAAGTGTATGTGCACTATCTTAAAATTATTTTTATAAATCAATTGTCTCTCATTCTATTGGCAGAATCGGTGAATCTTTATATTAGCTTTATAATAGCTTTACGTGTTTTACTGGAAGCTTCATAATACCTGCTCTTGCTAATATTGCAAAACAATCTCTGTTGTTCCCTCTTCTGTGGGTGTGTATAATCTGTGACTTTGATTTCCGATATCTCTCCAGACATTTTTATTTTTGTTGGAAAGTTACGAGTTTTGCTTACAATTTGCATACAGTTACATAGACCGGTGGAGTTTACTTAGTTGGTTTCAACATTATGTAGACAAGACTGGAGAGAATGTTTAGACATCTCAAAGATGAGGAAAAAAGCATGGGTTTGAACTTCACTGAAAGTTTATTGCTTTTGTTTGTGTTAGAAAATAAAAATAAGCTTTAAAAAATCCAGTCATGAACATATGCATTCCAAAACTCCTGCCAAACATCTGGAAGCTCTGGAGACAGCCTTGTACCATGTAGTGGAGGGTGTGGGGGATGGGGTGTTAGGCACCACCAGCATAGCGTAGAACTGAACTGTGCAAATCAAAGCATAGGTTTTGTCCACGTAATCCTAAGAAACTCTATTTTGAAATATCTGTTTTCGCTTGCAATGTTGTGTTAGCGATGTTAGGATTCATTTACTACGTTCTCAAAAATTTTTTGCCTTGCACTGTCTATGTATGTTAAATTGTATATAGTTGAAGACTGCAGGGTTTTTTGTGTAGTACCAAACAGAATTAAAAAAAATTATAAATGTGAAGAACTGAAAATTTTTATTAGACAGGATGCAACATCTGGCTGTAAATCCCAGCTTTCGGAACCTAGGAAACTTTGCTCGTGCTCTTCTTAGTTTTACACTGTTAATTATGAGGTAATATTTTGCAGAGTTTCTGTTGTCATAGTTGTATACATGCCCCTTTTTCTTATGGGCACATGAAATTATGGGAAATCAAGTAATTAACTGGGAGAAATCCTGCATTTAATTACAGATTTTATTAAAAGAGGAAGCTGTTCACGTGAGTGTGAATGCGTGTAAATAAGTTTTACACAGTACATACAGTGCTGCTGTTTGATGTGAATTCTGGTCTCAGAATGTACTTGTTGTTCTAACATGGGCATTTCAATAAGTTGATTGTAATAGTAATATATTTGTGGAGATGGGAGATTACGATTGAATTTTGAGTTATTTTAAAAAATCAACAGTTACTATGGAATATACAGCAGTATTTCTCACAGAGTTTTACAGAGATTTTTAAAAGAAATTAAAAACTGGTACAAAAAGCTATGCTATATACTGCACTATGTCAAGTCAAAGTTGTTTCATTTTGGGACAACTCACTTTTATCCTAAGTGGATGAATACATTCTATTCTCATTTCTGTGATTGCTAGATAAACTTTAAAAAAAATAGTTGCCTTTTTAATGGAAATAATATTTAAGAAAATATTTCTTCCTTCCTAATTCCTTTGAAGTTTTTACAGCCACTATAAAACCTAATTGTTTGTAAAAAATAATAGTCTTTTGCAGCTGTAGTCCTGGTGTATGGCTAGAAGATTACTCTAACTGAGGGACCTAAACAAAATACATTTATGTGTTTCCAGTATTTAAAATATTATGGGATTATTGAAATATTAACTGTTTCCAGACTTACATAAACCTTGAATCATATATATGCAATTTATGCAAAATAACAGTGATTGTTGTTTGGAATGAGATTCAGTGCAAATCAAAATTCTGGATAAGTTCTCATATATTTTCCTTCGCCCGCATCTCATCTCTCTCCCATTCATTACTAGGCAAGGCCATACCATTTTTGGCCATTACTAAGAGCCCAGAAGCTGGAATTACTGTGCTGGGAAACCTGTAGGTTTTTGCTTTTAAGTCTTTGAAGCATTAAGAATAAAAGCAAGTATTCAAGTACATAAGCTAAAAAAAATACCATAAGTTATTTAAATCCTCTTATGTATGCAACTAAAACTGAGAAATTTAAAATTAAGTCATTCCCATGTGATCCATTACCTGTGCCATGGGGAAATACACGAAGGAAAGTTAGTCCAAGAAGAATTATCGTTTTATGTGCTGCAGTGGTTATGGTTCGGGTTTAATAAAATAAGTAACATAAAATAAAATTAAAATTCCCAAATGGTATTTCATCTAAGTTCATCTAATTTTTGGAACAATTTGGAGAACTTCTATAACTTCTTTAAATCATAATACTTGTAATATCTATATATAATTTCTGTGAAACCAAACACTGTCTGCTGAATCTGCAAATCCAACTGTCACGTTCTATTTGTAGTCATTGCTACGTAAGCATTTTTCTCTTTTCCTGTGAAGACACAGTAAGAATCTTCAAGATTTATTACTTAAAGCTCAATTTCTCACCAGCAGTGTATGCAATCTTTTGAAGCTGGAGGAGAGCATAGGCTCATGCCAAGAACAATGCAAAACTTTACCTCATGCCTTGTAGGGAGAAGGACAGTTTTCTGAGGAGTGTTCATCTCTTTAACTCCTTCTCATCCTTTATGGCAACACTTTCCAACTGTACTTGAGCTGCTATTCTTATTTATTGATTACAGCCTTCTGAAACTGGGGATTCTGTTTGGTTTGAGGGAGTTGGCAGGGCTTAGTGTAGAGCATAATACCACCGTTTTGTTCATTATCATCTCAAAGCACTGAGTTCTGAAATAATGAAATTAGTGAGATAGAAGAGATTACTTTTAAGTGCATAATTATTATGAATCCCTTTTTCTCATTAATGGCATTATGCTTGTGTACACACACAAACTTACATAAGTGTATAAGCATGTATATGTTGTAGAGGTGCTTGAAGTTCTCCATCAAAATTAGGCTTCTGTTGAGGAATGCAATGTTCAGATACTCAGAGAGATCTGAGCATCATCCTAAAGAGCATTTAAACAAAAGGAAGATGCAAATATTTAGATTTGAAACTTTGTGCAAAGGGAAAAAGCTATAGATTTTGTCTATACTAGCTCTAATTGAAATGTCTCTAATTGAAATAGTGTTTTTAATCAAGTAGTGACATATGTTTGTTAACTTTTTAATAATGTCATTCATACTGAACTAAATAGTAGAGCAACTTTTATTAATTTTCATCTACAGCACCTTATTAAATACAACTGATACCGTAATTTCTAGGGACAACGTGTCATAAATCGAATTACTGATTTTATTTATGTAAATTCATGCATAAATTTAAAGAGAAATCTTCTATTGATGATACTTTTTGTAGATGTTTGCAATACTAATTAAAAGTTAAATTTACAATACTAAGCAGAACATGAAAATAAATCAATTTGCTTTGCTAGAATTAACTGTGTCCTGTATCCCCTTTTCACTCCCATTTGCAGTCACACATTTTTGCAGCCATTGCTTCTCTTTGGGAGACACTGGACATTCTCTTGGGCTAGTATGTGCTTCTTTTTAATTATCACTATGAGTAGGGCTAAATGATCAGCATCAGCACTCAGTCACCTACGTGCTAGGTAGTGAGCTATCTTTAGTGCTTCTTGTGAACTCTAGAAAGCCAACAATAAGCCTTGGTGGGGGAGAAGTGTCACAGGTGAAAAAGGGAAATGTGGAATAAACGAGGGTGTGTGATCTTTCTAAGGAAGCCCTGCTCTGTGTTGCTGGGATCCCAAATGAACTTCTGTAATGTGAGTTTAGACTAAAAGTAGTTATACCATCAAATGAGAAAAACCCCTTTGTGAAATGCTGGAATTTTGTTTTTCCTTTAGCTCCTCTGTACAGTGGCTTTGCACTGCTGTGGGGCTTCAAATGCTCCATCTGCTTCCAATGCTCATTCTTGTCTTATATGAAAATGTGTCAGCTGTGAGGTCTGGTGCTGTTTGCTCTCCATCTGACTGTATTCTTCTTTTTATTAGTGTCGTTTAGTTCTGTTTGTTCTGAATAAAATAATTTGAAAAATACATTCAGGCAAAGGTTTGGGACACCTTTTTAGATGTTTGTGTAGAGATTTTATTTTAATTTTATTAATGTAGATGATAATTATGTGGGGAACTCTTCGTGCCATGACGGAAAATGTAATGACAGCAAAAGAATTTAATTTTTTGTTTTGATGCTTCTATTGGTTTTAGAATTACCTTGTCTCCTTAAAGGCTATTGTACTTGAGTCTTCCTATATTCTGATGTACTGTTCTCAAACACATATAGTGTTAAACACAACCAAGTTGCTGAAATAGCACTTAATATTAAAATCTTTTGCCAATGCAAAAGTATGGTATATATGCAATGGTATACCTTGAAATGAACTGCTCTAAATAGGAAGCTTATTGGATTACTTTTATCTTTCAAAACCTTGGGTTGGTGCTTTAATAGCTAATAAAAGCTTGGTTTTTGTAGTGATAGTATTCTGGAAAATGCGCAGCTAAATTTTGAGAGGTGTCCATGTCTTCTAACAGCTTGGTACCTCCCTAGAGGAATTTGCTGAGCTTTCTAGCCCAATTGCCAAGCTGGGTTATTAATGTGTTACTAGCTTATTAGCATATAAGGAATAATATAAAGGAATAAAAGACACTGAGAGAGCTAATAAGGTTTCCAAAACTAGGCCTGATTTAATTGTGAAGAGATCGGAGATTATTTAACTGGAAGGAAAAAAATGAATGACGTGAAGTGTGACATAGCAAAGGCAGCAGGGTTTATAAGAGTCCCAGAGTGTGCAAACTGCCACTTAATACATAACTTTAAGTTTTTCAGAACCAGCTGTACAAACAGCTAGTATCGATGCTGCCTTAGAGGCTGTGAGGTGGTTTAGCTGATATCTCAAAGTCACTTCTATAGTTGTTTAATTAAAAAAAAATAAATAAAGGGGGGACAGGGAGCAGTA